AATGAACCTAATTTCGACTCTCGCCAACAAGTGATCAAAGCAATCCAATCGTCTTCTTTCCTTGAAGCTAGTTTTTTAAAGCATAAATGGTAGATCTGAAAAAACTTGTGAAGTGCAACACTTCTGTACTGATAATTCAGCTCCAAGATATATAGAAAACGATTGAAACAAAGGATTTTGCAGTGAGTTTTTCGGAAATGTGATGTACTTTTCTCTATCCCTGTTATTAAGCTAAATTCAACCTAAATTTTTCCCAAATAAACTGAAAAGTAACCAATAAAGAGATGCTTTCACTTTCAGATTAGCAGCGGCGCCTAAACTGAAGCTCTCCAGGACTGGTTCGCACGAAAGAATCAAGTCGTCAACTGCCACAGACACGCGAGACTTCGGGGAGAAAGTAATACTGGTTTAAGCAACTCACGTAGTTAAAGCACACTCGCTAGTAGCAGAAAAAATGGTCAGCATTCTTCAATAAAACCTGCGTGGACAAGGTCACAACAACACAAGTTCATTGAATCAAGACCGTGTGACTCATAAATTAGAAGGTACCTTAAATATACTCTTTCTCTCTTGTTTTAAAAAGGCATGACGTTGAAATACGCATACTTTTCCTACTCATTACGCTTCCTCTCAGCTGACAGAGAGAGATTTCTACTTCATTCCTTTTGTGGAAGGGAAACAGGTATTCTCCTAAATTTTTTCGTTATTTGTTACCTGCATACTCTTCCAAAAATGGTGGGCAGAACACCATTGTTCTTGTCCGTTTCTGCATATTTTAAAATACAATTTACTAACGAAAGAAATACCACGCATATTACATACCTTGCTGGCTTTTTCCACCACGCTTCAACTTGTGTTTCTAATTCACTGTAAAAAACCAACTGTTTAAAACTTATTTTTACTTCATTTTCAATTCCTTTGCTCTCCTCTTTATCATTACTTATATTAGAGACTATGCAGTAGACGCTTGAAAGATTGTTGCTTTGCTCGCTCGACTCTCGCAGAGCTATGCCTTAAGAGACACAATAAATAATATCATGGCAAGCTAAGTTTACTCTACTAGAATTAACAAATGATTGTATTTTACTTTCTCAAATAGCAGAATTTAAATTTTTACTTATAATCTGCCTTATTCTGTAGTTCCTAAATTTAGAAAAACCTAATGTGTGAAGAGAACCTCCAAGAACTTTCTAACTATTTAAAGTACAATGCAAAAAAAGCTTAAGTGTACGACAAAAGGAAAAAAAAATATAAAACTTCACTAATCCTGAGAAGTACATTAAAAAAATGACAGTGTTCTTCACTTCACAGTACCACTTTAATATCGGTTTCAGAAATGAAAGAATCTTCAGTTTCACTATCAAATATAAGTCCGTTGGAACTTAGAGATAAATGAGCATACAAGTGTACAGGAGAGTAAATTTAGCTAACGAAAAAAGCAGGTTATCATTAGTTTTGAATTCGCACCATATACAATAAAATCTTATAACTTTACAGTATTGTATACTACGGCGAATGTTTTGTTTTTTTTAAACGCATGACGTCGCAGCAATACTTAAAACGCTGGAACACCTCGCCTCAGTAAGTGTTAACGATTCATTTTCTAGCCAAGTGAATCAGCAATAACTCCCCAACAATTCCATGAATTAGCTCTAGCCTCCCTATAAACAAACCAAAATGATGACAAATTAGAACATACGTTGTCTGCTTTCAGCCATTTCAGAAGTAAACATTGCGCGGAAGTAATTGGAACATGAGGCAAGGACAAGGCGATGAGCATTAATTCTGTGCGAAACCACCACTAGTGTAACATCACACAGGCAACCTTCAGCACGCATTTCGTTAAATTTTTCCAGTGCTAATCGCGAATGTTTGGCACTGCGGTACAGCAAAGGTGGACAATTCAGTGAGGGCACATCGGACGAAGTTCCAGGAACAGATAAGCCACTACCGGTTGGATCCATTTCATGTTTCATGGTGCTAAATAGATCATACATAATTAAACGCACCAAAAACCGTTTACTGTACATTCCTCGACGAATCTTCTGAAATTTAAAAATAAAAAAAAAGATGGGAAACCGAACAAGCGCATGAAAGCCTCAAGTGAGACTATTCCAAAATATAGCTCACGCACCTTTTTATTGTAAATAAAATTAAAAAAAAAAAAAAAAAAAAAAAGCTACTTTGCCCAATAAAATGCCCAAAAATATTCGCAGTATGATTAAGATAAAACATATATTAATTCTTTTTTGATTGTATTAAAAATTACATTCTAATAAGAAATCAGTTATTGGTGCTGATCAGAATATTATTATAATAAGCTGTCCTAAAAATAAAAAAAAAGCTTGAGCTTAGCTTGTTGAATCCACCTCCAACGCTGTAACATTCTACGATTAGAGTTGGAGTATTGAAGCCTGTTCCTTGAACATAAACCTGCTGCTGCTATAAACTGAAGTCAATGAAATATATGTTAAGCAATTACAATAGTTGCCTAATTGTCTCTTTAAGCTGTTGGCACTGTATCAGACAATTGAACTTTGCACATTATTATTCCCTTCCAAAACGGTGCCCTAACAAATTGAAAAAAAAG